TGTGTGTGTGTGTGTGTGTGTGTGTGTGTGTGTGTGTGTGTGTGTGTATAGAGAGAGAGTGTGTGAGTTAAGGTTCAAGAAGGCCTCATACTTACAGCCAAATACAACCTTGAGCTTCTCATCCTTCTGCCTCTACCTTTTGAGTGCTGATGCTAAACGTGTGTGCCCGGTTTTCGGTGATCCTGGGCAGGACTGTGTGTTGGCTGAGCAGGCGTCCACCAGCCGAAACTATATACATCTCCTGCTCCCGTCATCTCTAGTCTTGTGCTAATCATGCTGGTTAGGCTCTATGAACTAAAACTAAGGAAGCTAAGCTTACTCGTGACTATGCAGACATGGAAGGTCTGGGACCTCCACAGCCCTGGCAAACCTAGAAACCAGGAGCCACAAGGAAAAAAGAGAGAAACTGCAGATTTCTGGAAGAAGCTGGCAGAGTGCTGAAAGGTCAGGCTGGAGGTGGGGGGAGGGGGGGAGAACTGAGGGCTGATGGCTGACTTGGAAGTCAGCGACGACCTTAATTATGTCTTTATTGTGGTGTGGAAAGAAACAAGGCTTGGCTTGGGCACAGTTTACAGAACATAGAGACACTGACACAGGCAGAAAGGGAAGACTTTTGAGGGGAAGATTCTTTTCTTTTCCGTAGCTGACTAAAAAGCAAAAAAAGCCAGGCATTGAGGCACATAGCCATGATCCCAGCACTCCAGAGGCAGAGGCAGGCGGATGTCTCTGAGTTCAAAGCCAGTTTGGTCCACATAGCAAGTTCCAGGCAGCCAAGGCAACAAAAGAGGCCAAGAATTTAAAAGAGCAAGAAGGAGTATCTGGAAAGGTTTGGAGAGAGGAAATGATAGAGGGAAGTGATGTAATTCTCTTTTAATCTCAAAATAAATAAATAAATAAATAAATAAATAAAAAATTAAAAACACAGAACAAAGCAAAAAGCAAAGAAAGCGTAGTGACAAAAAAGAGATGGCGAGGTTAAACTGTCTTCTGTGAGAGTGAAAATTCCCTGGACATCCTACAGTACCAAAGACTTGCTCTATCCTAATAACTAAGACCAGATATCCTGCCAGCACAGTGCCCTGGGCATTTACAGGGGCTGGAGGCTCAGGGTCCTAGAGGACAGCATGTTCTATGTTTCTAGTATTTGTTTGACAATCAAACTTTGGAAGACAGTGAACTTTTAATCCTGGGAGAGGCCACATAACACCAGAACCAAGGCAAAGGGCTAATTTAATGAGGCCTGTGAACTGCATAAATAAGTTCATAGGATTCTGGGTTTTGTTTCTTGTTAATTTGACGAACTGGTCTATGTAATCAGAATTAAGCCGAAGACAACATTCCTTAGTTGTGTTTTTACGGATCCACACAGACAGCACTGCACCTCTTGTAGAGGGAAGAAAGTAGAGAATAGGGACCCTGCACTTTCCTGAGTGTTTCAGGTTTTGTTGTTGTTGTTTTGTTTTGTATAAGACAGGGTTTTTCTGTGTAGTGCTGGCTGTCCTGGAACTTGATTTGTAGACAAAGCTGACCACAAACTCACAAAGACCTGCCTGTCCCTGCCTCCCACGTGATAGGAATCAAGTCGCACACCACCAGGTTCCACCCTGTTGCAGTTTTAAATTCAAAAATTTGTGTGAAAGAACCCTGCCTTCAGGACAACTGTGAAACATGGTTCCTTGTGAACCTGCCATTTACTGTTAGCTGGTAAGATTTAAGAATGCTGATTTGGTGATTTGTAGATTGTTTCTTATCAGTGCTGAGCAAAGAAATGTCCTAGGACATTTCTAAATAAAGATATTTTTTCTGTGAGTAGAAAGGAAAAATTATCTGAAATTGTGTGGTTTCAAATGAGTTTTGATCATTTCTTTTCGTTGGACATATCCTCAAACTACAAATAATGTCTCAGCAAGGAAGGGATTCTAGTGACTATCAAGAGTGTGGGAGAGCCAAGGAGGAGCCCCGGTGCTTCCTGAATAGCCCCAGGCTTAGAACTAGGACATTTCTTAGGGACTGAGCCTGGCTTTAGGGTGCAGGCACGGTACAGGAGTGTTATTAAAAATATATATAAATTTTCTGTAGCTATGAATGTCTAACAGTGAGAATTCTAATATAAATAGCAACATTCTGGCACTGTAGGTCCCGGCAGCTGCGAAGTAAGGCTCGCTCTTTCCTCGCTGCCTCAGGTAGACATTCCTATCAAGTACGAAAGCCCTCATGTATAAACAGGATCCGAGAGCACAGCCACAGCAAGCCACTTTGGGAGGAAGCTCTAAAGTCCATCCCTGACTCCTGACTTGTGCTCACACTGAGGAAATCCATTTCTACACAAGGAACACCATGAAATCTCTGAGCTCCCCAGGAAGAGGACACCAAGAAACCAGATTTGCGCCTGTAACCCACAATATAGTGAGCTAAAGCTCAGAACAATTTATTTGGGAGTTTACCACAGATCATTTACACATGCTGCATAATCCAGAGTTACTGCACCAAGTTTAGTTCTTCTTACAGCCACCAAGTACCAACAACAAAAAACCCTTGATATAGTCATTACACAATGTTAGCATCTGTAAAAATGTCATAGTTTAATATGCAAATACACACAAATGTTACTTGTCAATTAAAAACAAGACAGCACACATTACAGACACACCTAACTGTTTCAAGAAGGCCCCTTCCACAGGTGAACAAGGTGAGAATCCTCCATAAAATAGGTGTATGCAGAGCCCACTTACGGAGTTTGAGCGTTTGCACAACTTACATGAACATGCCTTCTGGTGTCATCCTTCCAGCTCTAATCAAATAGGCTCCAAATCGAAACCCTGCTGCGTGGGCAAAGTGCACAAAAGCGTGGCTGACCGCATAACAGCTTCCGGCGATGTGTGCTCTCTTCAGGGCATTCCTAAAATACACAATTACCAGATAATGGGCATGGGTCATAGACGGTCATTATAATAAACTCAGTGTGGTGAACGTAGAGGCCTTGGAAATGCTATAATTCTGTGGATATACATGTGTGTAAGGGTTGCGAAGTTATTACAGGGAAGATGATAGGCGATTTTCTTTGTATCTGAGGATGGCTTACTGTAACACTTGCCTTTGCTTTCAAACGTGTGGACAGGTGTCATGAAAGAATAGTTAAGGTAAGAGTTAAGGAGCGGTGGCTCAGGAGTTCTTCCAAGTATTCTGCAATGTTCATCAGGGCCTTACATTCGCAGAATGGAATACACAGTGTCAATTAACAGATGGTACAAATCACGGATATCAGTACAAATGAGTACAAAACTCTCTCCCTGATAGGGTAGCACAGAGAACCAGAGGCCCTGTGAAAGGAGGGCCTGTTGGAGAAGCACCACACACGTGTGTTTTGCATTTAAGCATTCCTGGAGAATCAAGTCAAGAGCACAAGTCACTTCCTCAACCCTCTTTCAGAAGGAAGTTGGCAGTGCGCCCTCACTGAGGCATCAGATGGGGACCTACACTTTCTTGCACTAACACTCGACTTTAGGATGTGCTGTGAGGAAACTTAGCAAAGATTCACGTGGACATAGCGCAGCGAGCAGGCCACAGGGTCACCATGAGCCCATGAGGACGAAAGCCGCAGGCGCCACAGGAGTTGAGTCACCTGTGTTGGAGCTGAAGCGTCTCCTCGTACATTTGCTCAAAGGCTCGCTCTCTTGTTAGTGACACCACGGTGCGTATGTTCTCCACAGCTTCCGTTGCTATCTTAGAAGGTGCGACAGTAAAATGCAGACGTAATGTTAGTGACGTTAAACTCCCTGTTAGGGAACCAGTCTAGGGAGCACAGTATTTCAGGTCAATAAATTTCCTGACAATTACCCTTACCTCCCATCCCAGTAAGATGAAAATCACTTGATGGAAATTTCTCTTGGAAAGTTTTAATACATCCAGTTTAGGGCCCTTAAGTCGTTACTGAATTTCAATTTCAGTTGTTTTCCCACAGAGAAACCAAACATTGGAGACCGTGTTCATTTGCAAATGAGCTTCTTATAAATTATGAAACAATTCTTATCAAAGACAGCAGACAAAATCAAATGGATAATTATTCTGTCACAGAATTGCAAATCATAGCCAAACAGGACTCAGGACTACCCCAATGAGGCATCATACAAAGTGGCTGTAAAGTTCTTTATAAGACAAAACCATTTCTCATTTTGAAGTCTGAAAACTTAAAAAGATGTGTAATTCAAATAGGATTAATTTTGTTGTTTATATAGTTTTAAAAAAGAATGCAGTTACGTGGATCCCAGAGTGAGAGGCTTCTTTCTGTCTTAGACTAGCATTTGAATCTGAGAGTGCAGGTTAGATTGAAAAATAGATTTTGCATTACTACATTTTGTTTCAGACTGCCTCTGTGGACTGCCACACGTGGGACCCAGGCGGACATTTTAGACTGTAAGAGTTGGCTACATGATATTAGAATACTCAGTCTCTTCTTTCCATTTTCATGGTCAGTTGTTTCAAATTCTCTTTAATTTCATAACTTCATTAATCTCAAAGAACTTCCCCGCCCCCCCCCCTTTTTTTTCAAGACAGGATTTCTCTGTGTAGCCTTGGCTGTTCTGGCTACTGGAAGAACCCTTCACTTTTAACCCAAGTTGTTTATAAGGAAAACAGAAGACTTCTGGTGTCTTGTTTTTAGAAAAAAGAAATAAGCAGCAATAAGAAACTCTTTTTGAAGCCGGGTGTGGTGGCACACATCTGTAATCCTAGCACTCAGGAAGGCAGAGGCAGGTGGCTCTCTGTGAGTTCTAAGCCAGCCTGGTCTATGAAGCCAGTCAGGACAGCCAGGGCTACACAGAGAAACCTTGTCTCCAGAAACCATAAAAAAAGAAAGAAAGAAATTTAGAAAACATTCCATCCCTTTTGCAACATGTGTACACATTCATGTGAGTGCCAACCAGGTCAGCATACCTCGCGCATGCCTAGTGCCTGCAGAGGTCAAAAGCAGATAACAGGTCCCCTGGGTGAGTTAGGGACAGTTGTGAGCCACCGTGTGGGTGCTGGGAACTGAAGTCATGTCCTCTGGAAGAGCAGCAAGACCTTTCAACCGCTGGAGCAGAGGACTTCTACAGCCTCAGGAAATACTACTGGAAAACTACTTAAGAAAAACTAGTGGAGCCGTTTTACGTTAGCCAACAAACAAACATACATTGATTATTTCTTCCAGTTTAAACAAGTACATAAAAGAAAGACCAATATATTTTATTACTAAAACTAAATTTACTTTGCTTGAGTGATGATTGAGTGTGTGTTGTGTCTCTGTGTAAGGGAGGATGGGCAATGCCACAGCACTCATGGGGACAGCAGAGGGCAACTTTGACAGTCTGTTTTCCCTTCTGCCATGTGGAACTCCAGGATCACATTCCAGTCATCAGGTTTGGCAGCGAGTGCCTTTTCCTGCTGCGCCTCTTGCTGGCCTGGTCTCTATTCTGGGCTGGTGTCTGGTAAGCTGACATGCGGAAAGCTGCAGGAATAGACTTAGATTGCCTAATTTAGGGGCGGTTACTGATTGTACCATCCCAGGTTAATCTCATGACACAAAAATAAAACATCAAAGGGCACATTTGTAACAAAAGCTCATGCCACAAGAATGAGGTAAAAATCTAATTAATGTCTCAATTACTTAAGAATTTTCCATAATATTATCATTTTAGAAGCATACAAGGAGGGCTACACAACTGTTCCCTGTCTCCAAGACAAATATTTGCTAAGTAGTTCAGTTTGTCCAGCACAAGCTGACATTCCAAGGTTTCTTATCCACTGTAAGAAATGTGGACGGGCCCAAGGGCTGGGCAAACCAGATCCCTAAGTAACTGCATTTGCGAGTATTCATCCTGTGGGTGCTGTGCTCGCTGTAACCAGTTACCGTAGTGTGGACTCTAGACGACACTGAAGTCGTAATCATATTCAGAGGATGGCCAATGTGGCAAAGAGCTTTGAAGCCAGAAGCCATTCGGAGGGAAAAAGCCTACGCCCTGGAATGTGTGTTTGCATACTGCAGCTTCGAAAAGCTGTCAGTAAAAAGGGATGCAGTATGCAAAGCTTCCCAAACAAAACAACCCCCAGACGTCTCCCCCTCCTCTGACCGAGCTTTAAAGCACAAAGCGCCAGTAGGCAGTCTCAGGTGGTAGTAGTTGCTGGCCACCAGAGAAACAGGTGGGCCGAGGAAGGTGGGCTCAGCATGACCACTCCACAGGGAGGCTGCCTGTGGGAGGTCAGTCCTAGAGCAGAGGGGCCTCTCTCTCATCACAGCTGGTTAAGCCTATGACAGTCTTTTCCCAACCCTCAAAGATGCTGTTGATTTTGTGACTGTGATTGATCCTGAGAAGCTAAATGTGTCAAAGGATTTTCTATGTAGTTGCATGAGTTGTTCATTTTGATTACAAAGAAAGAGAGTTATTTACGTATTATCAATATCAATGTCTTGTATTCAGTAACTGTAAGGTTTTCTGGCATTTTGAAAAGTACTGAGAAATTTTAATTATTCAGTTAACAGAGGCTGGAGACTCATGGCATTAGGAAACGCCCTCGACAGTGCCAGCAATAGCGGATGACATTGTTACGTGCCACCTCTGGCTGCCATTTCAAGTGTGCTGTATAACAATGTGGCCCAGCGACCTGTGCGATACAGTGCTGGGTGTGCTGTGATCTGTGAGTGGACACTGTCATCACCCTCCCTTCACGGAGGCGCAGACGGAAGGTGGCGGATATAGACAGAATGCATGTGGTCACATGTGCGCTGCTGAGAGAGCTGGCCCAGCTGTGTTCTGAGCCACAGAGCGTGTTGATGGAGTGTGGGGACATTCCATCCCGCACTGACCCCACATGCGTTTCAGTCTGCACACAGCACTGTGCACACTCCTGAGAGGTGAAGTCATGAAGATTGAGTAAGAGCAAGAGCCTGCACTTTACCTTTCCAGCATGCTTGAGCTCTTGTTTATCCTTGTTGGCAAAGCCAGCCACAGCTGCGGTTTGAATCATTCCTGTCACTGCAAGCACAGGTGCAAAGCTGAGAACCAGGAGTGTCATCTCCCATCCGTAGATGAAGGAGATGAGAATGGACAGCGCCATGTTGGTCACATCCTGTATCGTGACACCAAATCTCGAAGTTGTCGCCTAGAGTCAGACGTGTTTGGGGTGGGGAGTTAAAGTTAGAATTCTTCTTAGAGTTTCCTGTAAAATAGGTGCTTTTAAACTTCCACTTGGATTTATTCTTTAAGTCCATTCTCTTTTTTTAGTATAATTTTTTATTTATTACAGTTTATTCACTTTGTATTCCAACTGAAGCCCCGCCCTCCTCCCCTCCCAATCCCACTCTCCCTCCCTCTCTCTTCTCCTCCCATGTCCCCCAGTCTGCTGATAGGGGAGGTCCTCCTACCCTTCCATCTGACCCTAGCCTATCCGGTCTCATCAGGACTGTCTTTCATTGTCTTCCTTTGTGGCCTAGCAAGGCTGCTCCCTCTTCAGGGGGAGGTGATCAAAGAGCCAGCCCTGAGTTCATGTCAGAGACAGCCCCTGCTCCTCTTATTAGGGAGCCCATTTGGAGACTGAGCTGCCATGGGCTACCTCTGTGCAGCCCATGAATGGTCCTTGGCTGGAATATCAGTCTCAGAAGAGACTCTTAGGCCCAGATTTTTTTAAGATTAATGAGGACACATATTTCTTGAAACCCTGCTAAGGAGTCTTTCATTTTTCCCAACCTTATGTCCAATATTGAGATGGTGTCTACTTTAACATGGCAGGTAGACTGTAGAAGCCTGGCAGAAGTTTTAGATTCTTTTTAAAAATTTTATTTATTTATTATAATTTATTCACTTTGTATCCTGGCTGTGTCCCCTTCCCTCATCTCCTCTCAGTCCCAACCACCTTCACTCTTCTCCCCCTATGCCCTTTCCCTAGTCCACTGATAGGGGAGGTCCTCCCCCCCCTTCCATATGACCCTAGTCTATCAGGTCTCATCAAGACTGGCTGCATTGTCTTCCTCTGTGGCCTGGCAAGGCTGCATTCCCCACCCCCCACCCCCCCACCCCCGAGGGGAGGTGATCAGAGAGCCTGCCACTGAGTTAAAATATGATCTGCTTTGTTAGCTTTGTTTATTTTTGTTTTTTGAAATAGGGTCTTTCTTCATGATTCTGGTCGTCCTGGAACTTATTGTGTAGCCCAGGCTGGCCTCAAACTCCCAGAGATTCACCTGCCTCTGCCTGCTGAGTGCTGGGATTAAAGGGGTGTGCCACCATGACCCACAAATATGACCTCAGTGACAGGGTTTCATTGTCTCCCTAAAGATGTTTTACTGTGTGCGTGAGGGGGGGAGAGTGAAAGAGACACAGGGAGAGGGAAAGAAAGAGAGAGAAGAGTGAAAGAGAGAGGGGGAGGGAGGGGGAGAGCCAGTTTTCAGTGTGTAGCCCACATGGTCAGAGATAGCTGTCAGAGAAGAGGTCAGAGGATGACCTCTGTGACTTGTTTCTCTTCCTCCACCTTTATGTGGGTTCTGAGAAGCTCTCAGGTTCTGGTCAGGCTTGAATGACAAATACTGAGTGACCGCAACAGCCCCTAACTTACAAACTTGTGAAAATAAAGCTAGTGCTTCAAAAAGTAGCCAAGTAATGAGTACTGTGAACAATAACAATAAAACAAAACAAAAAGAAGTAAGAGTGAGTTAGTCTTTTGTAAAGCATTTTTTCAGTGTTTGCTTTTATAAAATTGTGGTTACATTTAGTAAGCATTTTAAAGGAAAATAAATATCTTAATATTTAATACCACTAAAGCACCAGTTCTGCAGACTTGCATAATGACAGGCAGTTAAAATTCAAATGCCTAGAAAACATGTTTTAAATTGTGTTTGTGAACCTTCACAAAGGTTCTCATGTATTTTGTTTGAATAAAAAAGGAATTCTGTGCTTTAGCTTACATATTTATGAAAATCAACCCTTCATTTCTAAAAAGATCCTAAGGTGAATTGTCAATTTCTATTTTAACAACATTTCTTAATGGAATCAGCACAACAGATTTCCGTGTACTTTTGGCAGTTCACCTCTCACGTGGCTTCCATCAGTCACTCTTGCTCAGTCTCATAGCAGTGCTGAGCAACAGGTACCTTATTCATGAGCAAGCAGAGAGACAAAGCACTTGAAGGAGAGTGCACCCTTGCCGTCAAGATCTGTGCTACTTGTGCTCATTATTATTGGACTGTCAGTGGGCAGAACTGGGAAGCTACAAGGTTGCTTTCAGTTTCCTCCTTTCCTTATTTGTTGTCTCTTCACAAGTGAGAAATCCCGTTCTCCTTTTCCCTTCCTTTCCCTTTCCCTCCTCTCCCCTCTCCTCCCTTCCCCTCCCCTCCCCTCCATTTCCCTTCCTTTCTCTTCCCTTACCTCTCTGTACCTATTTGTGTTTTTAGATGAGATTTCACACTAACTCTGGCTGGCTTGGACCTTTTGGAAATTCTTCCTCTGTCTGCCAAGTGCTGAGATTACTGGCTTGTGCTGCCACGTTTGACTTCTAATTTTCCTTAATAGGCTTATCTTTCCATATACAATCTATTTGTTATTATAGTCACTACCTTTCCATGCATGGCACCCTCCTCACCTTGCTCTGGCTGCTCCCCTCTGCTTTTCTGACAGAATGCTTGCATGACTGGTTCATCATATCCAGTCTCTCAACACCTGGTCCTACTCCTTCTCCCACAGAGACAGAAGACCAAAACTTACGTTTCATATCCCAGCAGTGTTGAATGGAAAGGTTAAAGGTTCTTACTTATTTAAATGTGTGCTTAGATGTGATAGTTCTCATTTTCTTTCTTTCTTTCTTTTTTTCTTAACAAATTGGGCTCATTAAGTAAAGGCTTAAGTGGCAACATCAAGCCAGCAAAGGAGGTAGAAACATTGTAGTACAGGCAAAAAATATTGCAAAAGTAGTAAAATGGTTTTTACAATTGTTACATAAACACTGCTTGCCTAATGAAGGCATTGTAGCACAAGACTTTCGACACAGCAATCAGGAGGCAGAGGCAGGTGGATCTCTGTGAGTTCTAGGTCAGATTGCTCTACATAGTGAGTTTAAGGCCAGTCTGTATGAGACTCTGTCTCACCCCTCCCCACACACAAATAAAAAGCCTAAACAAAGAGCTACATGTCTTATGAATCTTCCTTTGGTGGGAAGATTGGTGCTTGGGCAATGCACTAACGTGTTAGCATTCTTCAGTGGCATGAAGAAAATAACGAGAACAGGGTCTCACTGTGTGCCCCTGGCTGGTGTGGAACACTCAGTGTAGATCAGTACTCCACATTGAGACCAGCTGTTTCTCAAGGGATGAGGTTAAAGGTATGAGCCACTCAGCCTGGCCAGCCACCAGATTTTTGACAAAGATGAAAAAAAAAAATACACGTTGAAGGAAAGACACTGTTCTGGCTGGTTTTTATGTCACCTTGATACGTGCTAGAGACATCTGAGAGGGGGAACCTCAGTTGAGAAAATGATTCCCTACAATTGGGCTGTAGGCAGGCCTGTAAGGCATTTTGTAGTCAGTGATTGATGGAGGAGGCCCAGTTCTTGTGGGTGGTGCTATCCTTGAGTTGGTGGTCCTGGGTTCTAAAACAAAGTAGTCTGAACAAGTCATGAAGAGCAAGCCATTCCTCCGTGGCCTCTGCATCAGCTCCTGCCTCCAGGTTCCCATCTGGTTTAAGGTCGTGCCTTGACTTCTCTCAGTGGATTATGATTAAGGATATGCAAGCCAAAAAAAAACCTCTTTCCTCTCCAAGTTGCTTTTGATCATGATGTTTTATCACAGCAGTAGTAATCCTAACAAAAACTGACACTTTCTTCAGCAAATGGTGCCTGGAAAACTGTATACCCACGTGTAAAAGAATGAAATTATGTCTTTTTTTTTTTTTTCTTCTTACCCTATACAAAACTTAACGCAAAATTGGTCAGAGATCTTAATTTTAGGTCAGAAATCTGAACTTCTAAAAAATAGATTCTCTCACATACTGAATTGGTTTTGTCAAACTACACCTCTCACAAATTATACATTTTTTCAGAAAACTATCAGAAAGTGGTGGAAGGCGGGGCAGGAGGGAGTGAGCAGTGCTGAGAGCTGAGGCATCTGAATCTGTTTGCAGCACATTTACCAGAACAGAGAGAGGGCTAAACTGGGACAAACCAGGACACCCACGGAAGGGGCTTTAGAACATTTATCTGAAAAATGCATGCACACGAAGACTGGGGATATATAGTGTCTAATCCTAGTAGCCAGACTGAGAGATTTATGATTTATTGGGCTTTAGATAGAGTGTACGGATGACCTTGCCATGGAAGTAAACTCCTGTCTTATTGAACAAATCATTAATGCTTGAATGGAATAAACCTTTCCTTGCTGATTTTAATTCATTGCAGAAAAAGCTCAAGAATGCAAAGAAAGGTAGAAGTATCTGGCATCCAATTTTCCAAATTTCTAATGTGTGGCATATAATAAGAAGTAGCCAGGTATGCTGAAATGTAGAAAGAAAGACTCATAGTAAGGGCAGAGGTTAATCAACTGAAATGACTCCAGAACTAACAAAGGGTTAGATGCTGCATTTTCTCATTTACGTGTAGAATCTGAAAACATCAACTCATAAAAAGAGAATAAAGTACTGGCTACAGAAGCTGGCCCGTTAATGCCATACTTTACAACCTTAGCGTGTCATAATTCTAACTAGACCACACAGGTTTTGGCCTTTATGCTGTGATACAGCATACTACTAAAAAAATTAAAAAAAAATTTAAATATTATCAGAGTGAACACATGTCACAACTTTGGAGAAAAACAACATTCAGGAAAAAATAGGAAATTTGAAATGGAATGTTAGAATTTTTAAAAATAAAATATGAAAATGAGACTTCTAGGTGGCTTATTTACCAGTCAGACAAAGAAAGCCATGCAGATGGGTAGCAGTTAACTTAATGTGAGCGCAGTCCTATGCTAGGGTAGGTTTAGTCACTGCTGTGCAGAGTTGCAGGTATTCCCAGAGCAACATCAAAAGTCAGTTTCTGACAACGAGATTATTTTGAAGGACAATCAGATAGTGCACATTTGTTATCTTTGAAGCTGAGGCAGGAGGATCTTGCATTCAAGGACAGCCTGTTTGTGGCCAGCATGGGCTCCACAGCAAGACTCTTCCTTCTTCCTCCTCTCTCTCTCTGAGTGTGTGATAGTGAAAGTCTATATACTGATGTTGAGTTCATCTATATAAATATTTTGGAGTGGTTTCCCGGCTCACAGTGGGTTTGCATATGTTGGTTTCCGTTTTTGAGAGCAGAGCGTAAAGTGACTGGAAAGTTAGGTAACGTTAATAATTTGCGTGTGGAACAACCATACGTAAGGACAGTTTAAAAACCCGAGAAAGAGAAAGAGCTGCCTGAAGAGGAATCTGCTAAGATGCACTGCAAGTGGTGGCAGTGAAAATATTTAGAGGAGAAATAAGAATTAGTTGGAAAAACACACAAAGGCTTGCCATAATGTAAGCACACAAACTATGTGCTTTTTGTGGAAAATCATTGAATTTGTCATGTATTTGCCATAGCCTTGGACGACTTTTAGATTTTGCTACACACTTGATAATCATCCCTAATAAACTTATCCTAAAACCTCCAGGCAGAATTGTAATTATATATCAGCTTATAATGTGCTAAATAAAGTCATTTCAGTAACTGCTAGTGTTGCTTGACTCAGAAGGACTATCAAGTTGTTTTCCATGCTTCCCATGACACTGTGGAATCAAGAAATGAGGCCAGCATGGCCCAAATTAATAGACTAGCACAAACTGATCAGCTCATTGGCTATGGAATTCATAAATAAAGCAAATGTTTATGATTTCTTGAGGCAACATGATTACATCTCTGGTGAGCAGAGATCTTGGCATTTGCATTGGGTCTGCTAGTGGCATAGATATGCACCATTGTTTCAATAAGATTTTCTTGTGCAAAATGAAGTAAGACCTTTGGCTGATGAGAGACTTACTAGAATGTATAGAGATAACAATGCCTTGTAGTTTTGTGGAATCTAGTTTCCAAAAGAATCCAAAATGAATTTATGCTTTTATTAAAACTACTCATTATATGGGAGTCTGTTGACAGATATGCAGGCAATAAGCCAGCACCTTGGGCTAAAACAATGCCAGTTAAAGAGGCTGCGTTCGTCAGTGCTTTTAGGAGAGACGTCATGTCACTGCATCTCACCAAAGTGCTCTGAACCTAGTTTTCAAAGTATCAGAGCTTCTAAAAGTAACAGTGAGAATACGTGTCAGCAGAAAAGAAATTTGTTGCACAAATTCATAAAAGCTGTGTGTATGTATACATAATATATAATAGATAGGATTATATATTTCGGGTCATTTGTTAAAGGTTTCTAACTAAGACATATTATTAGTAAGAATTTGTCTTATTAATGTCCATACTTGACAAACTGTAGCTGAAACTGCATAATACAGAAACTGGAATATGACTTAGCTAAGTTCATATGATAGGAATACAACATCAAATTAGTTCTAGACCTATCTCTAACGTCTCTTCTTGAGAAAGGAATTAGCAAGCAAGAAAGACCGGCAAGTCAATCTTTTCTCAGTATGAAGATTGTCCGTCACATTTGGTGTGAGTTCACTTCTATGTGGCCAAGCAAACAGTTATGTGAACTCACAGTGGTAGAGGGTGAGACTCCCTGCCACACCTAGAAGTCTTTTCTCACTTTACCTTTAAATTCATTAAAGTGCCTAGGATCTGGCCATTTACTCTATAGCTACTGCTTTTTGAAAAAGGATTTATTTACTTTTATTTGATGTGTGTGAGTATTTTGCCTACATGTTATATTTGTGTACCAAGTGTGCACTTGGTGCCCTTGGAGGCCAGAGGAGAGCGTTGGATCCTCTGGGACTGACATTACAGATGATTGTGAGCTGTCATGTGGGTGCTGGAAACTGCACCCAGGTCTTCTACAGGAACAGGAAGTGTTCCTAACCACGGGGCCATCTTTCCAGCCCCATGGAAACGACTTTTGATTGAAGTCAAATGTTTCAGCTTATTCAGAAGCTGCTCAGCAGCATTCTCAGCTGCACTAAGAATGTTTCACATGATCACCAGCACCAGTCAGATGCTTATACAGAGCAAGCTGGGCAAGGCTCTATTTTTTAATTTTCTTTTTTATTTCTGTGTGTGTGTGTGTGTGTGTGTGTGTATGAATGTATGCATACACATACTTGTATAAAGGTCAAAAGACAACTCTGTGGAGTCAGTTGTCCTATCTCACCTCTGTGTTGGTTCTGGGCCTGGAATTCAGGTCACCACACTTGTGTAGCAATTGCCTTTACCTGCTGAACCCTCCAGGCCCCTGAGCAATATTTTTTTTCCTTTTCCTTTTCCTTTTCTTTTTTTTTTTTTTTTTTTTTTTTTTTTTTTTTTTTTTTTTTTTTTTTGAGACATGATTTCATTCAAAATATGTGAAAGATAGGAAGTAAGAAAAAAAATGAGCACATTAGCACAGTAAAGGAAAAAATGCTACTTTTGTGGAGTGGGGGGTTTCCATGGACTTCTCAGGACTGACATTTTCTGCCCAGGGTTGTAACTGGCACTTCAAATGCTTATCAGGTCTCATCAGGACTGGCTGCAATGTCCTCCTCTGTGGATAGGCAAGGCTGCTCCCCCTCAGGGTGGGGTGGGGGTTAGTCAAAGAGCCTGCTACTGAGTTCATGTCAGAGATAGTCCCTGTTCCCCTTACTAGGGAAACCCACTTGGATACTGAGCTGCCATGGCTCCTCTTGCTAATTTCTTGATCCACTATTTCCTTGTGAACTCTTGTCTCTGATTCTTAGAATCTTCTTTAGTTTTAGATTAATTCTAATACATGTGCCAAAGCTTCTTCATTTAGGCTAAAAAAAAAAAATAGCCCAATCTCAAAGATATCCTTGAGTCTTTCTTGAAGGAATCCCTGCTGGCTATGACATGGCTTGTTCCCCTTACTGTTGGGTCACCCAGCATAACCCACAGATAGGTACAGGCACATGTGTGTAGGTACACAGGCACACCGTCCAGCTCCTGCTGAATAAACAGAACAGCAGGACTAATAAGATGGCTCAGCGGGGGAAGGCACCTTCCACCAAGTCTGGTGACCTTAGTTCTGTCCCCAGACCCCATGTGCTAGGGGGACAGAACCAAATTCAGAAAGCTGACCTCCACATAAGGGTTGTGACTCATGCTCACTCACTCACAGAAAATATAAGTGTCATTAAAAAAATCACCATATACATACACCCTGAATCTGAGCAACATCCATGGCTAACGTTGTGGTCAGGGCTCCAGTGCTATTTTCCTTGTCATCATACCAGGCAATATCCTAGAGAGAAAGGGAATTGATGCATAATTAGGAAAACATTCTTCTCAGATCTGTGACTTTTTAATAAAGATCTATTTATTTATTTATGTATTTATTACTTATATAGTATTATGCCTGCATGTGTGCCCGAATGCCAGCAAAGGGCAACAGATCCAGATGGTTGATGAGCTACTATGTGGTTGCTGGGAATTGAACTCAGTACCTTTGGAGGAAGAGCCAGTGCTCTTAACCTCCGAGCCATTTCTCCAGCCCCGGATCTGTGGTTTTATAAAAATCAAGTTTGAAGGACTTTAGCTGCCTGCTTACTTGCCAGTAAGCACAACAGATGAACTGGCTTTGGCGTCTTATTTCATAAAGCTCTATGTACTGTGTGGACGGAAGAATGTGAAGCCGCACTGAGACTCATCACCATACTGTAATATGTGGAGCGCAGTGTGGAATGGTCATTGTTAGAGCAGCTAGTTGCAACAACAGGACGGTTTGCAGTCTTGGTCCACAGGCACTTTGTGAGGAGTAGACTGCTATTTATTTACTCAATTATTTCAGTTTTTGGTGCTGTGGATTGAATCTAGGGCTCCGTGTGTGTTACATACCCTCTAGCAGTGAGCTGTCTGTCTAGAACCTTCTATTTGCATGGTAATGTCCAGTACAACTTAGAAATGTTTTTTAATTGATCAGTGACAAAAAAGGACTATTTTCCTCTCCTTTAGGATTCACACAGGCCGTGTTTTACCCAACACTTTCTATTACTCCCTAACTTTGGTAGATCTTAGGCACTGTGAGGTAAGAGATGGAAAGCTGGAAAACAGCTGCCCAGAAGCATGGCATCTACAGAAGGTAGGCAAAAAGCATGAGCAATAAAAGCACAAGATAAGAACTGATTTCATGTTAGCAGCTCATAGAGACAGCATTTATAAGCACCTCTCGGCCAGAGGAAAGGGTTTCCCTTTTATTGAGTGTTTCCTCTCCCTCACTCAGACCACACATGTGGATTAAAACTCCACAGAGACAATGCTGAACTGTTGGCTTGACACAACCCGGCCAGGTCTGAGGCCCAGGTTACACAGTGCTGTCCAGCAAACAAATACAAAACACAATGGGCTCTGCGTGAGCTATGCAGTACACCAGGAGAAAATCTGCAGAGGGTGGGGTAACTGCTCACAGGGCTGTGTTCCATGCACCTCTGCCGTGAGAAGCTTTTCGGGATCTCAGGTGACCTGGAACTGTGATGACAATCTGTGTGTGATTCATGAGTGACAGCTGGGCTATGGTGATAGCGCTGGAACCATTTGTCACCAAGTACTTGCTATTCTGTGGAACCTGCCCTCAGATTAAGAGATTCTATCTATGTGCTAGCTGCTTCTAGACTTCAGTATGACTTGGATCACACAAAGAAATTATAGGCATGATATAAAAAATAGGAAAATGAATATTGGGGCTTAGAGGTTAAGAACACTGGCTGTTCTTCCTAAAGGTCCTGAGTTCAATTCCTAGCAACCATGGTGGCTCAGAACCATCTGTAGTGCGATCTGGTGCACAGGTACACATGCAGGTAGAATGCTGTATGAACAACAAATAAACAAATCTTTAAAAAAGAAAAATGAACATTGAAATTGTGTTCTGGATTCGGTAGTACTCTCCACCCTCATGAACGGTCGTGGTCGCCAGGCCAGTCAGCAGTGTGGCCCAGACTGACTGCTATAGGCCAGCAATTGTACACCCTAGAGATTGTCTGTCTGAGTGTGCAGCTCATGTCAGATAGCAGACTTTCCGGACTTTAGCTGGCGCCCAGTAAAGACTGCGTTGCCTTCTGTCTTCCCAGGGGCAAAATAGTCATCAATAGAAGTTATGAGAAACTTTGCTCTGTCTTTCTCCTACCAACAGTTTTACTAAAAATAACAATACAGTCACATGCCATGAAGTGTGGAATATCTTTTCCTGTAGTTACTGCAGCAGCGCCATGAGGTACTACGATAATCCGCATCTGGGATGTGCTGAGGGCAGGGTGGAGGGAGGCCAGGGACATGGCTGGCAAGCGCCAGGGCCAGAATTTGAGCCTCAGCAAACAGGCCACAGTTCTTTTAAGAAAATGACTTTTCTGCCCTCATCTGGCTCAAGCATTCTGGTCGAGTTTTATTTCTTGCTTCTTGAGCTCTCGGACTTGTTACCTCACAACCTTTTGGAAGAAATTCCAGGTCTTCTTGAACCTTCTAGGCTGCTGCTGTCAATGCTATTATCTTATGGCCAAGAGACTTATTTTTACCAAGATTCCCCAAACAATCCAAATTAGAGGGGAAATGGGTAAAACAAACAAACAAAAGCCAAAAAAGCAAGCGGAAAAACAAAACAAAACAAAACAAAAAAACCTCCAAAAACTTTCAGATCCCCACAGCTCTGTAGATAAGTATTGACCACTAAAAAAATACAATGAACAGTTCTTTCAATCATGGAGGCTAGCAATAATCAGAATAATTTTTTAGCTGAAAGGTTCTTAAGTAATCACATAAAAGATAGATTGTATACCTACAGAAAACCACACCCGATTCTATAAACATGTCTACTTCAGTGAGATTCCAAAATGGTTGTAAAAGGCACTGCAAGCCTCGGCATGCTTTCTAAGGTTTCGAAGTTTTATCTTAGGACAGAAATGCAGGCAATAAAAGTTACGAAAAATCCCACATTAGCTGTCTCCTTGCCACAGACAAAGCAACGCTGTGAAGGCACTTATAGTAAAGGCTGAAAGTTCTATACCAGCCCCTCCACCAAAAAGCAAATAAAGAGGAAGAAGAAGGCTAAAGGACAATTGTGAAAAAAAATATGCTGAAAGGGACTGCGTTGAAATTATAGGGGAAATGGACAAAGCTGGTTAAGCAGCAAAGAGAAAGAAGCTCTGTGTTGGTAAATAAAATTGGTTGAGCCGTTACTACGCTGGTGGCCTTTATGCAGCTAAAGAAGGAGCTGCATTAACCGTCAGAGTATTTGACAATTGTCCTGGAGGTTAAAGCAGCTCAGGATCTTGAGGTTCTTCCTCTTAAAACATTTGCTTACATGGTCTAGGAGATGGCTCAGTGGTTAAGAACAATTGCTGCTCTTCCAGCAATTGTTTTGTATGACCTGAAGCTGCTGGCCTCCTTCCTCACCTGAATTCACATGTACGTACCCATACAGACATATATGCACACTAATAATTAAATGTAAAGTAAATTTTAAAAAATATTCCGTGAACAGAGGGGAAGACCAAAGTAACACAGAAAAAAAAAACATAAAAATCTATATTTGTCTATGTAAAATATTAAGATATTCAGGAAACAGTTTAAAAAGTCTATGAACACAGATAGACTTAAACTGGAGAAAACGTAACTTCATGAAGATAAAAACAGTAAGTCAGTCAGTAGGTGGGAAATATAGTTTTTGTTAATTAGAGTCTCTTCTTAATTAAGATTTGAGTGGGGACATAAGATGTTAACAAGTAAAGAAATATAAATTTACTAAGCATTACATGCAGGGGTTAGATCTATTTTTTAAGTCGTTTTAGATGAGAGAATGTTTCGAAGGTGGAGAGCTCCGAGACAGGACCTCTCTGCGGAGTTGTGTCTCTCACTGCTGGAAGCTGAGTGCCTCGGTGCAGAGACCCTGGAGTTCACTGCGAGGCAGCCCCCAGATGGATGAGCAGACGTAAAAACTGCCTCAACAATTCCCCTGGAATGACAGTAGCTCAATTTCTGAAAAGCAATTGCCAGGCAGGCCTCTTTTCCCACCAGCTCTGCTGACAGAAGGTGAAGCAGGGCTTTCGTGATTACGGGCTTTCAGGGGAACGCCAGCCCCTCGGCCTCCAGACTCGCCTCTGGCAGGAGATTAGAACTTGATCCACCCAGTTCAGCTGTTTCAAAGAGTGACCGGTTGTCTGCAGCATCTGACCTGCTAGGCATGCAGATGCTATGTGAGTTGAGGACTTTCTGCACAACAGGCAAGACACTGGGGAGTTTCAGAGTGTGGAGAAAAGGCCAGTACTGGCCCATGGATGAGCACTAAGGAAATCAGTGAGTCCTGCAAGGGTGTTCTGAGGCCCTGGAGCTCACATCCCTCCTTTTCAGCGTTAATGTGTGGTCCTTCTCACCCCCTAACACAACACTGTGCATCAAAGAAAAGTTGAATGCAGTGAATAACGGTAGACCTGAAATCTTTTGTATTCAAGCCTCATAATTTGGATATGCTCTTTTTATTTTTAAAATTCTAATTATGTGTATGTGTGTGTGTCTGTACATGGGTAAGTGAATGTGAGTGCAGTCCTCCCAGACACCAGAGTTGGTCACAGTTTCCTAGCGTCAGAGTTATAGGTGGTTGTGAGCCACCTGTCGTGGATTTGGGGAACTAAACTCAGGCCTACTGCAAGAGCAGTATGCATTCTTAATTGCTGGGCCATTTCTTCGGCCCCAGGATATGCTTTTATTGGAAGAATATGATTGTAAGAATTCTGATGGTAGATTTTTGCTGACTAGAACAACAACAAAAATGTATGCTTTTCAATGATCTGCTATTAGGACGATGTCAAGAAATGAGAAAGAATTAAAGGTTAGAATGTTTGATAACAAATCTCAATTAAAAGAGGAAAAATTCCAATAAACATACTGACCTGATATAGCATGGCTTTGAATGCCAAGTGTCTTAATCTCATGGCTAAATTTTCCTCTGCTCTGCCATAAAACAATCCCTAGAAAACAAACAAAAAGTTCTACATTTATTTTTAAGTCTCTTTGTAACATTCAGCTATTATATTTTTAAGTGAAACAGAGAAGATAATGTAAACACGTAAGCCTGCCAAGGGCTGTTGAGTCACCTGAAAGTTTACCTGCATCAAGTAAGTGACAAGAGCAACAATACCCAGGACAACTAGCAACATGGAGTACACTTCGGCGTCATGCTTTAATGTAGCTTTATTTTTGTCTTCAAACATCTGAGAAGGAACAGAGTTTCCATCAGAAGCTTGGGGGAAAGTATAAACAGAAAATAAAGCCAACCTCACTTAGAATGTCCACACACATAAGGATTTTCTACAGGAATTGCAATATAAGGAAAAAACAAACTATGCATTCTGGGCAAAAAATTATACTATTATTATTCTTTTGTTACTTTTAATATATTTTACAAAATCAGTTTACTTTTAATTTGCCTCCATTTGTTCTATAAATATATCAGACAAATGACTCTTCTATCATAGTATTTTCTCCTTTTTATTATTTGCATTTCCTCTCCTTTCCTTCCTCCCTCTCTCACTCTGTTTTTGCATACATGTGCATGGATCTGGAAATTTGTGTATAGGTCAGAGGTCAGCTTTGGTAGCAGATTCCTGTTTTCTGCCTTGCTGAGGCAGAGCATGTCCTCTGTTCCTGTTCTGCACCTTGTAGCCATCCATGCTCTTGCTGTCTCTGTTCCTGCCTCTGCCTCTCATCTTGCATAGAGTGGAGGTGAGCACCACCACATTGGGCTTTCAGGTGGGTTCCGGGGACCACACTCAGGTTGTCAGACTTGTGTGGCAGGCACTTTTACCCATGCAGACAGCTTTCTGGCCTGATAGCATTTTTCCCCAATTAGATCAGCAGTTTGAATTATTATTTCTAATAACTTTCAAAAAGTTACATTTCTTAATACTTTAAAAGTGAGACATTTGTACGTGCCCCTAAAAGTTGTTCACCAAGCTGGGCAGTAGGCACACACATTGGCAATGCAGCTCTGCACAGGCTGCTGAAGACAGTGGGGGTCAACTCTTCTGGGGCGTTGGCACAACCCCAAACTCTATTCCCTCTCCCTGAGCTGGCTGGTAATAAAAAGTTGTCATTGTTTGGACAGGTTGGGAAGAGAGAGAGAGAAGTTGTATCTGTCTCTTTTATTGCTGCAGTGCTTAGGAATGCTGATACAACACTGAAGTCAGACTTAGAAACAAAGCCATTTCTTCACATCACCCAGCCAGCAAGACTCAACACTACATGGCAGACGGGGTTCATCTCCCAGGCATGGAGGCCACCTTTCCTGCCATGGACGTTGACCTGGGGACAGCCCGCTGAACGTTCTGGCTCCCACTTTACAGTTCAGTATACTACAGCTCTATGCTCTCTGACTGTGCTTCATTGAACCCCACTCCCGAGTTGTTAAAAGCAGAAGCAAGTGAGTTTTACTTACAGTGACTAACTTTGCAAAGATGATGGAAAATGCTGGGTGAACAGATCCATTTATGACAGAAGCCAATGTTCCCAGAACCACAAAAGGCCATTCAGACTTGCTTAACTTAAATATTTTCAGTAGAGAAACTTCAGGAAGACTTGCCTATAAATAAATCATCAGTTGGCTGAGAACATCATCAGTGTCAGGGCATTATGGAACTCAGAGATGTGAGGCAGGACAAGTAGAAGCACACCAGAACCTACCAAATATCACAGATGGTAGCGTACAGTTGTATTTTTCTTACAAAAAATTACCCATGTTATTGTTAATGATGAGCCTCAGACAGAAAGGAATCCATGTCAAAGTGATGACTCGTACCATGTCAGCGTTTGGAATTTCACTCAGTTGCTATCACTAAGAAAGTACAAATTTGGGCTGGAGAGATTAGTGGCAGAGAACCAGGGTTTGATTCCTAGCACCCACATGGAAGTTCAGAACCACCTGTGACTCCAGTCCCAAGGCATTTGACACCCTCCTCTGGCTTCCTCAGGCACTGCACACATGTGGCGCACAAACATACATGCAGGAAAAAACAACCATACACATAAAAATACAATAATAATAAAAATAAAAGGAAAGCACATGCTAGGTCACACATTCAGGTAGAAACAGGAAACAATAGGCTCAATCTCCTTACTCTTGTCAGATTTAATATCATACTGAAGTCGAAGATAAGGGTTATGTATGAACTCAGCAGAGAAAGAATCTCAGGTCTGGAAGTTACAATGGAAGAAATCGATGTATCAATCCAAGAAAATAATAAATCTAAAAAATTCCTGACACAAACCATCCAAGAAATCCAAGACAACATGAAAAGACAAAACCTGAGAATAATAGGAATAGAGGAAAAAGAAGATTCCCTCCTCCAAGGCCCAGAAAATATTTTCAACAAAATCATAGAAGAAAATTTCCCCAACTTAAAGGAGAGGGCTATAAGCATACAAGAGGCCTACAGAACACCTAAGAAATTAGGCCAGAAAAGAAAATGCTCCCACCACATAATAACTAAAACAGTAAGTATACAGAACAAAGAAAAAATACTAAGAGCTGCAAGGGAAAAAGGCCAAGTAACATATAATGGCAAACCCATCAGAATCACACCTGACTTCTCAGCAGAGACTATGTAAACTAGAAGGGCCTGGATGGATATCATGCAGACCCTAAGAGAACACAGATGTCAGCCCAGACTACTATACCCAGCAAAACTCAGTCCTCATAGGCGGAGAAAACAATATATTCAACGACAAAAACAAATTTCAACAATACCTACACACAAATCCAGTGTTATAGAAGATACTAGAAGGAAAAATACAACCCAAGAAAACTAACTACCTTCAAGAAAACACAGGAAATAATTAACCTTACTACAGCAAAACAAAAAGTAGCCAAACACACAAACACACTACCACAGCCAACATCAAAATCAAAGGATCTAACAGCCACTGGTCATTAATCTCCGTCAACATCAATGGACTCAATTCTCCAATAAAAGACACAGACTAACAGAATGGATATGTAAACAAAACCCAACAATCTGTTGCATACAAGAAACACACCTAAAGTCACAAAGATAGATATTACCTGAGGGTAAAGGGCTGGAAGACGGTTTTCCAAGCAAATGGACCCAAGAAGCAAGCAGGAGTAGCCATTGTAATATCTAATAAAAATAGACTTTCAACCAAAATTAATCAAAAGAGATGGGGAACGACACTTAATACTCATGAAGGGAAAATTCCACCAGGAAGACATCACAATCCTGAACATCTATGCCCCAAATATAAGGGTACCCACATTTGTAGAAGTATTTCTTAAAGAGTGTTAACAAGACAGAAAAGAATGAAATGAAATAAGACAAAATAAAAATGAAAAATCTCTATAAAATCATGAACAATGTCATTAAACTTAATATATTACAAAGATAGAATGTTTTAAGATAACCTGATGTAAAAATATGAAATAGGCATTTTTTTTATAAAGACATAAACAAATCTGATAAAGTTAAAAGTCTCCTAAGGAATTTAACATTTCGCCTGGTCCATTTTAGAATTTTACTGAGTTATGATTTGCACGTAGACAATTGCATATATATGTGTAATCTGCATATAGCCAACTGCACGCACACGTGCAATCCGGGAGTTTGAAAGTAGCCAGTTATCCATGAGCCTATTACCACAGTTCCGTACTTAACACTGCTTCCCCAGAAGGTTCCTTCTGCCTTTGCAAGCCCTCTCCTTCCAGCCTCTGGGTCACAGCCAGCTCTCCATCCTGCACCCCCCCCCCCGAGAGTCACAGTATATTCGGTCTCTTTACTCCTCTCCTCACTTTGCAGTGAGAGTGCTGCTAATTTTTTTTTTTAATGCTTTGGGAGTTTTTAGTACAGCCTGATTCAAGTCCTACAGCGAATACGTGGCTTACAAACACTACCAGTTTATGGCTTATTCTGTTGCTCAAGTTTCTTTCATAAATATCAGTGTTCTTCACTCTAATGTCTGATTTGTTATTTTTTTTCTTATCAGTATGTTTTTGGTATTATTTCTAGGAAGTCTTAAAGTCACGAAGATTTTCTACTGGATATTCTCACCTACATTCAGTGTTTTAGTTCATAAAATGTGTGTGTGTGTGTCTGTGTCTACACATGCACGTGCCACAAAGTATGTTTGAAGATCCGAGGGCAACCTGCAGGGATCCACCCTCTCTTCCAGCGTGGAGGAGTGGGGACTGAACTCAGGTGGTCAGCAGTCTCTACCCACACAGCCATCTTCTCAGCCTTTTCTGTTGTGTTTCCTTTCACCCCTGACTTATTAAATGCTAGATGTTGTAAATTTTACCCTGCTGGTTACCTGAGATAAGTGAAAATTCCTATGATGACATCGATGACATCTGCAGTTATTGACAATTGGCAGGGGCAGCAGGGGCAGCAGAAGGTCTGGAACTGGCAGGTGAGAGGGAGAAGGCAGACTGGGGGACAGCAGGAAGAGCTAAGGGCGCCTTGCTCTGAATTGTCCATTAGCCCTGGGGAAAAGAATGGCTCTCTGGTTTGGGAGGTAACAGTGGGCCCAGGACAGCTGTTGGGTGATTGGCAGCTGGAGGCTCAGGACACTGAAGTCACCACACAGGAGCTGGTCAGATGAAGGACTTCTGGTTGGCGTGACAGGCGTGGGGCTGTGAAGAGGGAGAGAGCTCTGGGCTCAGGGAAGGGGTACCAGGAAGATATGGATGGTGCTTATGACAATGTATGCTTTTTTTTTCCAACTTGACGCAACACAGAACCATTTGAAAAGAAGGAACATCAGTTGAGAAATGCCCCCAATAGACTAGCTTGTCGGCAAATCTGTGGAGCATTTTCTCCTGCGCTGGGTTCCTACCTGACCACCCTTCACAATGGCCTACAGCTATACTCGGAAGTAAATCCCTTTCCTCCCCAAGTTCCTGCTGAGTATGGCTTATCACAGCAACAGACGCCGAGTCAGGAAAGTGCTGAGAACGTTCAGTTGTGGGTCTGCAGCCCACGGTGGGTTAAGAGGAAGGAGTATGATTGTGATAGGAAACCACACAGGGTGTCGCGGTGCCCGAAGAGAGCGCTAGTTGGTGTCAGGGGCGTGGAGGGGTAAACTAGGTGGCTTGGCGGGGAGGATCTTGTCCTGGGACAAGTACCCCTGTCCTCAGGAGCTGCGATTGGAGGCCAGGACTGTGCCTGGGGCTTGTCTGCATCCAGGCTCTGGCAGACGCAGCAGATGAAAGAGGCTTTGAGAGTAAAGCCTCTCCACCAGGCTACATGCAGAGAAAGCGGAAGTGTGTAAATGCCAATGGAGCGCCACCATACGAGACCTGGGCTTTCCAGTCTTGAGCTGGTTGGGACTGGGGGCTCACTTCCATTCTTAGAAAGGCCTTTTCCTTCTTTAACAGTTGGCTTGCATTTCTGACTGTTCACTTGTTGCTCACCCATGTCTTCGTCTGAGGCACAAGGACTTGGAAGTCCTCTGGGCCCAGACCAGCAACATCCTGACCACATTAAGCTGGGGTGGCCCTAGTGGTGCACCCCACACGTCAGACTGTTGTTTTAACCCACGGTTTGCCTTGTAGGAAGGCACAGCATGTTTTCATGAGAAAACACTTTGTGAACTGTGGCACTGTACTGTTTCATTATAAATCAACTCTAAATTTTATAAGGATTAATTGGACACTGGAGAACATGTATGCAAGCATGTTGGCAGGTGACCCATTACCTTTTGATGGTGGACATCTTCCTCATACTGGTCAGTGCAGGGGGACTTGGTGCTATTCACATCACACAGAGAACCACAGCTGGCATTTTCTTCAGTGGAAAATGTCCTTGATTCTGTTTGTTCATCGGCATTTTTAATATCCTTAAATTAAGAATGTACATATCATAATGATATCTTTAATATTATATTAATATTATAACAATAGCAGGGTTAGGGACATAGCTCATCTGGGACAGTGTTTGTTTAGCAAGCACAAGGAGTTGAGGTTGGTTCCCAGACCTCAAGCTTAAGGCTGATGGAATATACTTAGCATCGTAGTTCTTGGGAGGCAGGGCAGGGGTGATGGGAGATGGGGTGGTGAGGATGCCATCCGATGGATAGGTGTAGGTTGATCCTTTTGGCTTGCTGGCTAGACAGATTAGCATACTTGCTGAGTTCTAGGCTAGTTAAAGACTCTTTCTTAAAAACAAGCAAACAAAATGGATGGTGCTTTCATACACACACATGTGCATACACACACACACACACACACACATTCACAAGGAATGCAAGAATACAAAGGTATTTTATTGTGTCACTTTAAAGCTTATGTTTGTGTGGCCAAGACCTGAGGGAGAACTTAGGAGACAGTAACACAGCAGTCACAGCCCAATCCAAACTGAGATTCAAAGCAAAGTGGGTGTGTGTTGGGGCTCCATTTGAATAAAAATACAGAGAAACCAAACTAGCCACGACAAAGTATAAAAACATACACTAGTGTTTAATTCTAAGCTACATTGTATTGTACTTAGTTTTTCTCCTTCCTTCCTTCCTTCCTTCCTTCCTTCCTTCCTTCCTTCCTTCCTTCCTTCCTCTTGCTTGTAATTCAGAAAAATAAGGGGAATTTTAGTGAGACATCCAAGTATACTCCATTGATCCAGGTGAGTTCACCAGATGTCCCTTCTAGTGCCGAGAGCTGGCACAAGAGGAACGGGCTCAGACGGGATAGCAGCTGGGAGAAGGGATGGATGCAGCGTCAGGTGGGCAGGGAGCATGACCTGGACCACATTCCAAGGATGCTCAGATTCTTCCACAATCTGAAGAACAGTTAATGGATTACACAGCTGCACAATGGATGTTAACCTGGCTGTCTTGCCATTATCGTCGGTAATCACACACTTTTAAGATAAAATCTACTTTTCTGTTATTTTTCTACCGTGGAAGAAGTATTTTATTTGGCTTTTTTTTCTTTAGGAGTTACTCTGTGGAAAATTTAAAATAGAATGGGGAAGAGTGATGTGAAATACTGTTTCTGACATGACATGGCAGAGTAAAATTTTCTAAGAAGGAGTTTTATTATTGGTCCAAGACAATTTAAATTTTCTTTTATTTTCAATTCATTTTTTTCTAAGGAGCTTGCCAGACAAAGGAATGATAATTGGGGTGGGGTATTAAGGATTGTTAGTAAAGCTAAGGGAAAGAAAAAATAAGGACCAACCAAAACTAAAGATGTATCAATAGTCCTTATGGAAACCAATTCTTTGTAAGCTAACTAAAATATATGATTTAAGAAAGTAGTGTGAACATAGGTACCCCGCATGGTTAAATGACAATTTTAGTGCCAGGCCTTGGACTCCTCCTTACAACTCAAGGAGGCCTCAGAGGTCTCCAAAACAAAACAGGCTGTTTCCATTGCTCTTTGTTGATCACCAGAACAAGATGGTAGAACCCTGTCATTGAAGAGAGGACATATTTTGGTTTTAAGACATAGAGAAAGCTGAGACTGACCTGAAAACTCCATCCTGCTGGCTAGCTTTTCTAGAACTGGAAGACTTTATATAGGAAGCTGGGGAAATAAAGGCAGCGATAGTTTCACCCATTGCTGGACCTGAGTACTACAATACTGACCTACTAGGCAAGGTAGGGCATGAAGGTTATTAGGGTAGCCAACTGCTTTCTCATTGGATCTGAGGCCTGCACACAGAAAGAAACTGATGTCTAATACTGTAAACATGGTCAAAAGCTCATGGATTGGAAGGTTATAAGTTTTAGGGTTATAAGTTGGGTGACACACATCTGCCATGTTGTCAAATGAACATGTCAAATTGCCTTCCAAATATTTATGCTTGTATTCATAAATTAGTGCTGCCCTCAGTCTTGGCCAGAGAAGCTACCTTCTGTAGTGAATAGCAGCTAATGCACAGCCTGAGAGCTGGCTAAAGTGCTGAGAAAAAGTGGCTTAGTGCTGAATTGGACACCACAAGGATCAAGGAACATAGTGGGGAAAAGGCAGAGGACAGGGAAGACGGCTGTGAAATGTCTTCTGGATGTGACATGGTCGTTGCCCTCATTAACTCCACAGCCATCACTACCTGCATGAGATTAAGCTGACAATGTCAATCAATATTCCAGCAGCCAGCGCTAACTGGACTCAGTGGGTTACAAAAACAAGAAGAAAGAAAAGGAAAAAGAAAGGATAGCACACAAAGGTGGGAGGGAGATATTAGGAAGTAGGTTGGAAAAGTTGGGGGGCAGATAGGAGGTCAAGATACATTGCATACAGAGCTCCAAGACGGCTGTGACTAGCGTGCACTGTATTTGAGGGGCAGAGGATCCAAAACTCCAAAACCAGTGATCCGGAGCATTGACTTTGGTGCTTCCTGGACTGGAGGGATTATCCTGGGACTTGGGGCAAATTATAGAAGCTACATCCAAAAACAGCAGAACTAATGAAAAAACATTTTCACACTTCTAAATCTAATCCTCTGTCAAAAGTTTGAAAGATTCCACAAAGATTCCACAGGGGATCAAAGCAGATGCAGAGACACACAGGCACACTTTGGGCCAAGTGCAGGGAGTCTTATGGAAAAAGTGTTTGTGTGTGTGTTGGGGGGAGAGATAGAAACACTTGGAGGGGACAGGAGCTCCACAAAGAGACCAACAGAGCTAAAAACTCTGGGCCCAGGGCAGCCTGCAGAGACTGATGCATCAACGAAGGACCATGCATGGAGATGACCTAGAACCTCTGCTCAGATGGAGCCCATGGCAGCTCAGTCTCCACGTGGGTACCCTAGTAAGGGGAACAGACTGTCTGACATGAACTCAGTGGCTGGCTTGTTGATCACCTCTCTCTGGTGGGGAGACCTAGCCATCCCACAGAGGAAGAGGATCCAGGCAGTCCTGATGGGACCTGATAGCCTAAGGTCAGACACAGGGAAGGAAGACATCCCCTATCAGTGGTCTAGGGAAGAGGAATAAAGGGGGCAAGAGGGAGGGAGGGAAGGATGGAGAGAAGATGAGGGAGGGAGCTACAGCTAGGATACAAAGTGAATAAGCTGTAAATAATAACAATAATTAACAAATTCAAAAGATTAAAATTCAACATGTATACACTGCATACATGTACAAAACTGTCAATGTTCAAATAAAAGACGCCCTAAAATGCATCTTACTTGATTAAATTTTAGATTCATTTATTTATTTATAGATCCCCCCCCCCCCGAATATGTGGCTGGTGCTGTGGAGGTCGGAAGAGAGCATCAGATTTCATGGAAATGGGTAGAAGTTTTACTTTTGTGTTTTGTTTTTTGAGGCAGGGTTTCTCTTGTAGCCTAGGCTGCCTGGAACTCACTCTGTAGACCAGGCTGGCCTCAACCACAGTCTGCCTGCCTTTGTTGTCTTAGTGTCTGTGAGTGAAGGTGTGTGCCACCACTCCCTGGCGGAACTGTACTTACGGATGGCCATGAGCTATCATGTGAGGACTGGGAACTGAAACTGGGCCCTTTTCAGGAGCAACTAGTGCTCGTACCCACTAAGCCAGCTCCCCAGCTCCTCTGTGCTTGGTTTTATTTCATACCACTAATGGCAAAATAATCCCAAATACTTATCAGAATCAGCTCATTTGCTAATTGTGATAATCAGTAATTGTAATAATCAATAATAATCAATTGATTATCAATTGATAACAATTGATAAACAATCAATAATCAATTGATTACTGTGTCCTCTCCCCATGTTAGGGATTTGGAAATAGAAACATATGTGGAGTATGTATGTGTGTGTGATACGTTTGTCTCTGTGTGTGTATGTGGTCTATGTGTGTGTGTGTGTGTGATGTGTTTGTGTGTGGTGTGTGTGTTTCTGTGTGTGTGTGGTGTATATGTGGTGTATGTATGTGTGTGTGTGTGTGTCTATACCTGTGTGTTTGTAAATGTAGAGGCCCAAGGGTGACAGTTTTCCTTGCTCATTCTCTACCTTGTTCATTGAGGCAGGGCCTCTCAGTTGAACCCAGAGGGCACTGATATGGTCAGTCCAGTGTGTCCCGGGGATCTGAAATTACAGGATTCTCCCACACTGGTGGAAATCTGGAATTTCAGCCCCCATACACTGGTGAGAATTGGTGAGAGGGTCCTTGCACCGTAAGGGATCTGAAATCCAGGGATCTGTTCCTCATATGTGCAAGGCTCTTCTCCCCCACTCCCCAGCCTGTCCTCAGATTTTCTTAGCAGTGTTAACTTTGCCTTGTAACGGTCATGGATTTTCAGAATGACTAATGTTGGCATGTTGGGCAGCAGTGGCAAATAAGTGCACCCAGAATTTGAAAAAAGAATCGCTCTATCACACAGGTTCATTGAGCATTAAGATTACCGTGCGCTCTATCTGAATCGACAATTTTGGTTATCTGAGAACACTGATCTACTTCAAAGAAGGTGTTAATATATTTTACATAATTTTAACACAAGGTATTATTTCTGATTTTTCTGCATTGTGAAACTCTAACTCAAGGCATAGTGGTGGCTTTTAACTTTAATTATAATGAAAACTAAAGGTGTGCTAGTCCAAAGAAAGCCTAAGTGTAATGGTTCTTAAGAATCTCTAAAAGGTGGCTGGATGGTGATGGCGGCGGCGGCAGTGGCACCTACCGTGGGAGGCAGAGGCAGGCAGACCTCTGAGTTCAAGGCCAGCCTGCTCTACAGGGTGAGTTCCAGGACATCCGGGGCTACACACAGAAACCCTGTCTCAAAAAGAAAACAACTACAACAAAAACCTCTCAAAGCAGTGAATTCTGCCTCAATTGTGTCCTTTTCTTACTAGTTATATTGGTTTGGAAATACTGAGTTTAGTAACTTCATAAACTTAGTCCTCTAAGGCAGGGTTCTCAACCTGTGGGTCCTGACCTTCTGGGGGTTGTATAGCAGATATCCTGCACATCAGATTCGTACATTACAATTCACTTACAGTAGTAAAGTCTCAGTCATGGAGCAGCAATAAAATAATTTTATAGTTGGGGGTCAGCACAGCCGTATTAAAGAGTGGACTCGTTAGGAAGGTTAAGAACCGCTGCGTAGGGAATGGAAGTCAGCCAAGTTCAGTTGTCAGCCTCACTTGTCTTTTCAAAGGAAACAAAATCAAGACCAAGTAGTTAATCAAGTATGTTGTACTGTGTTTCTTTTTTTAGTGTGTGTACATGTGTTATATATGAGTGTGTATGTATGTGTGTGTTCGCACTCGTTTGTGTGTGTGTGTGTGTGTGTGTGTGTGTGTGTGATTGTAGGCCAGAGGTTAAAATTGAGCATCATCCTCCACTGCCCACCGTTCTAATTTTTGAGGTAGGCTCTTTTACTGAGTGTGGGCTCATGAATTTGGCCATTGAGCTGCAGAGATCTGTCTGTCCCTGCCCATCTCAGGGTTTCAAGCAGGACCACAGTGTCTGGCCTTTATGTTGTGTTGGGGATCTGAACCTAGTCTTCAGGCTCGCATGGCATGTACGTTATTAACTGAGACATCTTTCCAGCACCCCTCCCCCCTTCAAAAACAAACGAAACAAAACAAGAACAATCAGGCCTCACTCTGTGCCCCAGGTTGGCTTTGAACTCACGGGCTCCTTGTGCTTTCGCCTCCTGTGTGCTGGATTACAGGCTTGAGCCACCACACTCTGCTTGAGATTATATTTCAAACTACTGTTTTGTTTTCATTATCTTTAGGTTATGCTAAATAACATTTTGTTTAGTGTACTAGACAAAGTTAAAGTTTACAGTTTTCTTATAAACTTGATGAGGAGATGGAGATCACAGCTTTCTCTATTTCCTAATTTGTAAAATAATACTCTGGACATCAAAGATAGGACCAGACAGTTGAGGAAGTAAAATAAACAGAAAGACTGAAGTTTTATTTTCCCCACAGAAGAGTCTTTAGGAGTGATTCTGTCTTTTAGAACAAGAGGAGAAAGCAGGAGTAGAATGAAGGAGATGGCCAGGACTTAAGCACAGCCCTTCTACTGATGTGCCTCAGGGAAGGAGCGGTGTGAAATCCAGCAGGGTGGGTCTCAGCACGCGAGGATGTGTGGGCCCTGGAAAGGGAGAAGCTGGCCCCGTATGTTGCCCCTTTGACTGCCCAATATGAGCTGTGAGGATGTGTCCGTACGGAGCAGTGTTCACTCCAGACTCTGCGTTCCACTGCATCCTTGCAGCGTCTGTTCACTCTCCACTCTAAACCCTGACCTTTCTGCCTGACTTTAGGGACCTTCTAAAATTGTGCTGACACTGTCTCAGTTCTCCTCGCACACACCCTTCTTTTTTTTTATTATTCTCATTAGTTACATTTTGTTAATTCTGTATCCCAGCTGTATCCCTCATTTCCTCCCCAATCCCACCCTCCCTCCCTCATCTCCTCCCTGCCCCTTTCCAAGTCCACAGATAGGGGAGGACCTCCTCCCCTTTCATATGACTCCGTTTTGTCAGGTATTTTCAGGACTGGCTGCAAAGTCTTCTTCTGTGGCCTAACAGGACTGCTCCTCCCTTGGGAGGTGGGGAGGTCAAAGAGCCAGTCATTGAGTTCCTGTTAGAAATAGTCCTTGTTCCCCTTACTATGGGAAACCAATTGATTACTGAGCTATCACGGGTCACATCCGAGTAGAGGTTCTAGGTTTAATCCTCTCATGGTCTTCGGTTGAGTGTCCATCTCAGAAAAGACCCTGTGCCCAGATATATTTGGTCCTTGTGGAGCTCCTATCCTTTCCACATCAAACTCCCTTTCGTTCATATGATTCCCTGCACTCTGCCGAAGGTTTGGTTATGAGTCTTAGTATCTACTTTGGAACACTGCTAGGTAGAGTCTTTCAGATGCCTTCTGCAGTAGACTCCTATCATACGTTCAATACACATCCCATTTGTCTTTCTAAATGAGGATTGATCATCATACCTAGTGTCCGCTTTCTTGATTATCTTCTTTAGGTGTATAGATTTCATTATGTTTATCATATCTTTTAGGTCTATATAAGCGAGTATATTCCATGTTTGTCTTTCTCCTTCTGGGATATTTCACTCAGAATGATCTTTTCTAGATCCCACCATTTGCCTGCAAATTTCATGATTTCCTCTTTTTTGATTGCTGAGTAGTATTCCATTGGCACACACCCTTCTATGTGAGTCTTATCTTTAACCATTCGGTTCTATGACCGAGTGCTCTCTGTTGTTGTTGTCTTTTTAATCTCTGCATGGCTGTCTCATCCTTCTGGCTTTTTCTTAGTTTTATCCTCCACCTTGTAGCCTTCAAAGCTCTTCCTTGGGGAATGTAGCCCTGTCCCAGCCTGTCTTGTTTCTTATTTTACAAGGAAACACACAGATGTAAACACTGCAAATGCTACCTGTGCCATGGCGAGCGAGTAATACAGTCCTTGCTTCGCCATGAGTTCAGCATGGGTCCCTTTCTCTGCCACCATGCCATCCTTCATGGTCACAATCAGGTCTGCCCCACGAATCGTGGAGAGCCGGTGTGCTACCACAATTGTAGTGCGACCTTTGCTTGCCTATCGAACAGAAGACAAGGAAAACAAAACTGTTAGAAATAACCTCTGCGATAGTCAGGACAACTTACTTTCACAGTGTTATTTTACAAAGAATCTTATCCTGGGATATAGAAAATTAGAAAGGTCAGTAGAAATTAGAATATAAAAAGTAATTTGTTCCAAATGGTGGTTTTTATAAAAACCATAGTATCTTAGCACTAGAAAGAAAGCTAAAAAAAACAAAAAAACAAAAAAACAAAAAAAAACCCTTCAAGCTTTTTAACTATAAGAGCAAAATAAATCTAAGATTTAAACTCACTGTCATCTTTCAAATAAACATGTTTTTAATGAGTTCTGTGCAGACTCAAGGTAAAATATGTTTTAATCTGTTTTACAACAATCATAAGTACGCAGAAGGGTACACACAGGGGCATTGACACATACTTTTCAAACTGAGTCTATTCAGAGCACACGGTCAGGATATTACCAGCATCTGGAGGCCATCGCTTGTGACCTGCCCTCTCCTGTCATTACCACTGTTAACCCACCAAAGGGACAACCAATTTATTCCCAGTAACATGGGCTGTGCGTGTGTGTGTGCATGCATGCGCGTGCGTGCTTGTGTGTGTGTGTTTATGTAAGTGGAATCTACAGTGCATACTCTTGTTTGTCTGAGTATTTGTGGTTTTGAGACTAACCATTTTGTTTCTTATACCTACATAGTATTTTACTGTACAGATATAATGTATACATTCTATTCCTAACTGGGTTTGAATTATCTTTAGTTAGTTTGTTTTCTATAATGTATAGATTCTTTCATGTGTTTGTTTAGTGAACAAATTTATAGAGATCTATCATTTGTACCCCAAAAGGGACTGTTCAGTCATAGGGTGTCCAAGACTATGGAGCCGCAAAGAGCAGGAGCATCCAGGCAGCATTCTATTTACACCAACAATGGCTAGATCCCTTTTTGTCTGACAGATATGTGCTATCATATTGAAAATTTGTTTACCTTTTTCTAAGGACTAATGTAGTTGAATAACTTTTCAACTGGTTGTTGAAAATGTGAATCTCTGTTTTGTGAATGGCCCAAATCTTTTGCCTCTTTTCCTTTTTTTCTTGCTAATTATCAGGAGCCGTTTCTGGTGCATAGTTGTGGGGACTTTGTGAAGAACTGCTCCTCCACATACGTGGCTGTCCCCTCCCTCTCAATATTGTCTTCCAATGAATGAAAACTTCAAATTTTAATGATGTCCAATTTAATGACACCCCTTTTCTAATTATGTCTTTTGAGTTCTATTACAGAAACCTTGTCCAGTCCCCGTCCCCTGGTCACATGGGTGGTTTCTATCTTATCCTCCAGTTTTTACTATTGTGCCTTTCATATTTAAACTGTCAATTCTTCTGGTGTTGATTTTATGCACGATGTTGTTCATAGCCTTTAATTTTTTTTAAATGAGTGTTCTAGCGGTTCTGTCATAGGTAAGGGGCGATTATTCCAGGTCTGTTTTTGTATTGCCTATATTCTGTTGGTCAGGCCTGCTGACACTACAGCAGTGACACTCTGTGCTAACTGGGTGAAGCTGAAACCATTTTGTGATCTTGTGGTTTGAGCGTCCAGCTCTGTTTTCCTCCGCATGTTTGCACTTCCCACCCTCAAACTAACTATAGCCCAGGAACAGGCACTCGGCAGGCACACTACAGGGGATTTTCAGTGTCACTGTCCACGCTGCTACTATGTCACAGCCATGGAATTTTCTTAATTCTAGTTCTACTCTTATCTGTTTCAGAGAAGGAAACTGGAACTCTGAACACTAAAAGGCTTGTTTCAGGCCTCGGGAAGGCGTGGAGCTAGGCTCTGACGTAATTCTCTCTGTTCTCTATAAAGGTCTCTCTGTTGCAATGGATATGTTTACACGAATGAGGGTTTCTTTCAAAGTCTTGCATTTCTAATCTATAACAGAAGGAAGTACTTCAAAATATTAGCTATTCAGACTCAAAACTAATGAAATAATGACACGCTACATGGAAGATGAAGGCAAAGCTGAGGCATCCTGCTAGAACTATGTTTGAAAACTATTTGTAGGAAAAAAGACCAAATAGGATATATCAAAATATTAATAATGCATGCATTTAATTATTGTACCTATCAGTTACACTTTTCTTTCTCCTTTAAAAAAATTTTTTTTTTCACTCTAGGCTTTCTCTGTGTAACCCTGGCTGTCCTGGACTTGATTTGTAGACCTGGCTGGCCTTAAACTCACAGAGATCCACTTGTCTCTACCTCCCTGAACCCAGTACCTGCTGACTTTCCCAGGATGCTCTCAAGTGAGAAAGAAGGGGTTACTAGAACTGTCTTAGGACAGCAGGGAGGTGAGGGTCATGCAGCTGTAGCTTAGGCTAGACTCTGGACCATCCAGAGCAGCAACGACTTACGCCCGTGTCCCACACGACAGCAGTACGTTCTTCCTGGGATCCGACTTTTACATTTACATCAGAAATTAAAACTGGGCATGAGACACTGTGATGAGAGACAGTCTTTTGCATTAAGCATATCTTTTCCTTAAATTTAATTTATATATATTTATTACAATTTATTCACTTTGTGGCCTCGCTGCAGCCCCCTCCCTCATCTCCTCTCAGTCCCACCTACTGTCCCTCTTCTCCCTCTATGCCCTTCCCCAGTCCCCTGATAGTGGAGGACCTCCTCCCCTTCCATCTGACCCTATCCTATCAGGTCTCATCAGGACTCTCTGCATTGTCTTCCTCTGCAGCCCTCAGGGGGAAATGATCAAAGAGCCGCTGAGCTCATGTTGGAGACGGTCCCTATTCCCCTTACTAGAGAACCCACTTGAAGACTGAGCTGCCATGGGCTTCCTTTGAACAGAGATCTTGTTCATTAGTTTTCATTCTAAAATAACTGTGAATGTCATATATGTGCATATATATTCAAACACACACATACACACATATTTCTGTGTGTGTGTGTGTGTGTGCTCACACCATAATGTGCACACGGAGGCCAGAGGAAAACTTCCCTAGTATCAAACTTAGACTGTCAGTTTTGGCCTTTACTAACTGAGCCATCTCATTGGCCCCATAGTCATACATTTTCCAGGAATATACATATATATAGTGCATATACATGTATACACATATATGATTGTATCTCTCTCTCTGCATGCACATTTTATATCAACCAACACAGCTAGGAAAGCAGTAATGTAATAATTTGGCTTAGCACCGGGGAATGAAAAGTGCCACCCGGAAGTGAGGCTAAGTCAACGCTTGATGTCAACATCATCCTAAAGCCTCTCACATTCATGGCAGATAATTGGAAGTCAAGGCTTCTCCACTTGAAGTGAGATTGTGTCAATGTGAATACCATGGGGAGGCATCAATGGAGGAAAATGGTTTGGGGAGAGAAGAGTGCCATTAGTGTGACGGAGGAAACAACGCCCACTGCTGTTTCTGTTACCGGGGCATTGGCTACAGGGAGATGAGACAGGCTGGAATGGAGGGTGTCGACTGATGGCTTGCATATTTGCTGTGTGTGTGTACGTGTGTGTAAGCCAACTATAGCATTTGTCTCTCTACGTCACACTCTGGATCCATACCAGAGTGACTCTGGGAATGATTATCTGGGTACCCAAATAGCTCTAAATCTGAATTTTCTTGTACTTACAAACAGTAGTGAACCAGGAGTATGGGGCTCGGAAGTGATCCCTCCACTTACCTTCTCCAGGGCAGCTTGGACAGCTGACTCACTTTCTGTATCCAGGGCGGACGTAGCCTCATCTAAGATCAGAATTTTGGGGTTTCGAACTAGTGCTCGGGCAATGGCGATTCTCTGTTTCTGGCCTCCGCTCATTTGTGCTCCTTTTTCCCCTACTAGGGTGTTAAATTTCTAATGAGATAGAGAGAGGAAAGAGAACAACGAAAAGGGTGATTACATGATTAGAAGAGGAAATGGCAGGAACATTTGTGCTTTGGTACCAGCAAAGTGAGTACTTCATCATGGCCATTCAGAATCTTTGATTTGATCCTTGTAAAAACAAAGATCTCTGAGGAAAAAGGCCAAGCAAGGCGAATAGGGAAAGGTAACTGAGGACCAAACCAGATAAACAAAACAAGGGTTCTTAGAAAAAAAAAATCTTAACTGGAATGAATTTTCAAATCTTTTAGATGACCTCAGAATGCTTAAAAAAAAAAAAAAAATCTATGAAGCATTCATGGTAATAGTGTTTGCCGGCAATCTGATACGTTGTCTATTCTTTTCCTCTTGGAAGTGCTGAGAAATAGTAAGACCACAATGAATGTCACTTAGCAGGGTGTGGACGAGCCCACTGTAGCCCAGTGCTGAGCAGCCACAGGTAGGACACCGAGTTCAAAGTCAGCCTGGCCTTCAGAAGACGCTGCCTCACAAACAAAACCCGCAAAAGCAGGTGTGGTAGTGCGCAGCTTTAAGCCTTCAGGAGGCCTTTGTGAGTTCAAGGACAGGCAGAGCTCTGTAGAGAGACCCTGTCTCAAAAGGCAAAACAACAACAACAACAAAACCCAATAAAAAAAACAAGCAAAACAAACCTACAAAACTCAAACTAACACCGAACTTATCACAACTTCCTTTCTAAAAGCCTTTTTTTTTTTTTTTTTTTTTTTCTAAAACAGTTTTTAGTCTTGGGAAACATTTAAGGCCCTTTCTCTTTATTTATTTCTTGATAAATACATTTTTAACAACTCAGATATTATTATATCACAGTGGGGTAACTTCAAGTACCTGAGGCCTGAATTAATCGTGTTCTATTGGGTTATGGCACACATCAGATGAAAGGCATTTCTAAGCCTTTAATTTCTAGAGACTGATTTTTTTGTCTTATTTTTAAAAAATATCGCTCTCGAGATTGGGGCAATGGCTCAGTGGTTAAGAGCACCAGCTGCCTTTGTGGGGACCCACGCGTGGTTCCCAGAGTCCATGCAGCACTCACAGTCACCGGGGTCTCCATTCTCCAGGGTCTGATGCCCTCTCCTGACCTCCGTGACCACTACACACGTGTGGGGCACAGACAAACATGTAGGCAGACACTCATACACATTACCAAAATCTTAAAAGGAAGAACAATTCCAAAGAAAAAATCAGTCTCATTGCAGATTATTTATGCACAAGAAATGGACACATTTTATTAATATAACCCTGTTGTTTTTGCAACAGTGCAAATAAATTAGCACTACTGTGACCTACAAAATCTTATCAGGGTCCTTTTCATTGGAAACCTGACCTTGCTTCAAAATAGTTACATTTGGTTTTGACAGTGCAAACTTATTTATTATTATTATTATTATTTATTATTATTTTTTTGAAAGTGTCTCATGCAGCTCAGGATAGCTTCAAGTTTGCTATCTAGTCCAGAATGACATGTGTGAGTGTGTGTGTGTGTGTGTGTGTGTGTGTGTGTGAGAGAGAGAGAGAGAGAGAGAGAGAGAGAGAGAGAGAGATCTTCCTGCTCTATCTCCTAAGGGCCTAGATTACAGGGTGTCTGGATTAAATGGTAAATGTGTTGGGAACTGGACGCAGAGCTTCTTCATGCTGGACAAGCGCTCTGCTGAGGCACACACTGTACCACGGGAGCATGTGGCCCTGCCACAGCCGCACCCCTGAAGTAGACTGACTGACTTCTGTCAGTGTCATTTACCATAGCTTCTCAGCTAGGGATGGGGTCCTGTGCCCCCTCCCCTGGAGCATTGACTGATTTGATCTTGAGATTTTATTTTTAAAAATCTTTATTTTTCTTTATTTCTGATTGAAATTTTTTTTTTTTTTTTAAATAGTCGAAATGGACATTGGTTATGTAGAGACATTTAGAACAGTTACTTGTATGGTGTATCTAGCCTTTTTATTTTCTAACTGGCATTTTTTTGAATGAAGATTTTAACTTAATTTAATCCAGTTTACTGCTTTCTTCTTGTTGATTCTCTCCTCCCCTCTGGATGACCCAGGGCTTTTAGCATGGTAGAAACATTCCACACCAAGTTTCACCCTCAGCCTTTACTGTAAGGTCTTTTTACAGTCATCTTCAGAAATTTCATAATGTGAACAGTGCATCTTGATCATATCCTCTTATCACCTGCCTCGGGCTTTTCAAACCTGACTCTCAGCCACTGCCTCCGGAAAGTTGGGATCATAAGTGCAACCACACATGCTTGGCCAGTCTACAACTTTTTTAAAGATTTATTTTTAAACTTTGTGTGTGTGTGTGTGTGCTCCACGTGTGTATATATAGATGCTGCGGACTCCAGAAGGGGTTGTGGTCCCTGGTACTAGAGTTACAGATGCGTGTAAGCTGCCCGATATGTGTGTTAGGAGCCAAACCTGGGTCTTCTTCAAGAGCAGCAAACGCCATTAACTGCTGAACCTTCTCACTAACCCCCACTTCTCCACTTTAAAAATCAGCACATAGTTTCCTAAGAGTCTTATGCTTATCCTGACATCATGATTTCTTCTTGTTTCTACTAAGGTATTAAATTACTTAATTATTCTTTTGAGACTGTCTTACTGTATAGCTCAGATTGGTTTTCTACTGGTTATGTAGTGTGGGCTCACCTCCAAATGGTGATCCTCCTACATCAGTTTTCTAAGTGTTTCCCTAAATTTTTATTTTTAAAATCCAAGCTAATTTTGCTTTAAGATATGTGACAAATTAATTTTTGTCTGTGGTGTGTTGCAAAAACCACAGCTCATTGGATATCTTGTTCCAGGACAATTTTTAAATTTCTTCCACCTGCTTAATTCTGTTAGCCTGAAACAAAATTGGGCCCATTTCTGGAGTCTTTGCCCTGCTGTTTGACATATCCACTTGTATTCTTATACAACACTTACATTCAACACAGCACTACTTACTGGTTCTCTTGAAGTAGATGTTGTGTCTGCCAGCATTGCTCTGTTTTTAAAGCTGCTCTGTCTACTATTCACATCTTTACTTCATAAATACAAAAATATTCTAGAGTCCATGCATCACTTTCTCATATACAAAAGACTCATGGAATTCTCTGACTGGTGAAGAATCAGACTTATAGGTCAACTTGAGAAGAATATATAAACATTGACTCTTTAATAAATAAGGCACAATTTATTTAAGATTTTTCATTGTTTTGGTTAACCTTTTATTAAATGTACTCTTAAATTTTTGCTTTGGAGGCTGGAGAGATGGCTGAGAGATTAAGCAAACTGGCTGCTCTTCCAGAGGTCCTGAGTTCAATTCCCAGCAACCACACGGTGGCTCACAACCAGCTATAATGAGATCTGGTGCCCTCTGCTGATATGCAGGTGTGCATGAAGACAACAACATTGTATACATAATAAATAAATAAATCTTCAAAAAACTTTTATTTTGATGATATTGCATGAGCTTTTTAATTTTTTTATAACTTTTGCCACTGTTTAAAGACTTAATTGGTTTTTGAGAACGTTTGGGCTCATTAATTATTGCTTTTTCTTGAATTTGTTTGGCAGTTCCTGTCTTTGAAGGGGTTGACCCTTTTCCAAGCTGTTACATCCACAGGCACAAGGGATTCATAGTCTCCCCTTGTGTGCAACTTTTCATTGACTGGGGCTCAGGGGTCAAGAATGGCCTTTCATTGCTGACTCTCTCTCTGTCTCTTTCCCCCTTCCTCTCCCTGTCTCCCCCTAACTCCATCTCTAACTCCCTCTTCCTCTCCCCCCTCTCATGTTTTCTGTCTCTTTTTTGGTTAAGCTGTCTGTGGACTTCGGTATTCATCAAGCTAACCTTTGGTGTCTTCTTTTATTCTTTGTACTACATTGTTGTGATTTACTGTCATAAATACAGCAAGGGGCATCTTTGTCTGCTGAAGAGCATGCATACACACTCCTAAATTCAAGTGGGAGGTGGGAGATCACTGCGCGATGAGGAAACTCCCTGAAAGAAATAAAAGGCAACGAAAGGAAATTGCCCTTTCCCAAGCACAGAGAAGGAAACACCAAGCCCTTAGTGATCTGCTGGGCGGCATGTCGCCACGCTAATTCACAGCGTAATGAAATTGAATATTTTAAATTCTTTTCTTTCAACACACTCAGTGTAGTTTTTAAGAACGTCCTTCAAAATTAATGCTTTTGTTCTTGTGACATTCTGGAATGATGGAATTCAGATGTGCACACAACAATTTCCAGGCGGTTCTGATGAACTTAAACTTCAGGAAACGTGGATAAATGCTTTAATAGCTATCACACCGTGCTCATTAATACACGTCTTGCTGCTAAGAGTTTCAAATTTATCACATCTGTTTACGGTTTCACCTTTCTTTCGTGGTGTTCATTCCTTGCTCTTTTAGAGTAGCTGTCCTCACACCCTGGCACGCCAGTGTGTGTGCGAGCGCGGCGCTCCCACTATTGGCCACTAGATGGAGCGACGAACCGAGGTTTTCCGACTCCCTTTCTCCGAAACCTTGGTGGAGGGCGAGAACCCGGCAGCACCAGGCTCACCTTAGGAAACGCCATGATGAAGTCGTAGGCATTCGCCTCCCTCGCTGCCTGTTCCATCTCCTCGTCATTCACGCCTTCGCGCCCAAACTTAATGTTGTTACCGACGGTGGTCCCAAACAAAGCGGGCTCCTGGCTGACCACACCAATGTGCTCTCGGTAATGCCTCACGTTCTGGGCTCGGATGTCGGTCTCATCCAGCGTGATCTGCCAAACCAAAGAACGAGGCAGACTGTAACGGCGGCCGAAGCCTTGGCTTTCACCTGTCGTCTTAATCCGGGGAATAAACCGAGAAGCAGTACCTCTGAACACTGGCTATATTTTGGACAACAGCAATAGATTTTTTTTTTTTCCTCGTAGATTGGAACCAACAAACCTTCAAGACATATTTAAAGTCCCAAGAAAGCATAATTACTAACGATGCTGGCCATAAGATACACGCACACAAATGCTGTAGGTGCTCCAAGTGTGATCATGTAGGCTTTAAGGTTCTAGCCTTCTTTACTTCTCAATGCCCTGTGCAATCACAAAAGATCAAAGTTCCTTCTAATCATAGTTTTAACTGTGAAAAAGTTAAAGTTTTTTAACCTTCACCTTCACCACAACACACTGCAGAGACAGAGCTGGATGTGCCCGCGAGAGGCTCCACCCCTCACAGCCTTGGAATTTGTGTGGAGTCGGGTCTAAGATAGTCTGAACAAGTTTCCTTATGAAGACAACAGTTGATGTTAAGTAGAAGCACTAAGAAGCTGTTCTGTGAATATCAGCCTCCAGTGAGAGTTAATTTCATCATAGTAAGTTATGAAAAATGAAGAAGAATGGGCCCAGGAGACGGCTCGACAGGGCAAGGTCCTCGCTGTGCAGCCTGTCTGCTCCAGTCCTAGGAACCCATGTGAAGGTGAAAGAAGGGCTCCACATGTGTTTGTAGCTTCTGTACTCTCATGCAACAATAATAAATACACTTTCAAAAGAATGAGCATCAATGTTCTTAGCCATCAGGGAGGTGCAAATCAAAATGACCCTGAGATTTCACCTTACACCCATCAGAATGGCTAAGATCAAAAACTCAAGTGACAGCACATGCTGGAGAGGTTGTGGAGAAAGGGGAACCCTCCTCCACTGCTAGTGGGAATGTAAACTTGTACAACCACTCTGGAAAGCAATCTGGCGTTTTCTCAGACAATTAGGAATAGTGCTTCCTCAAGACCCAGCTATACCACTCCTAGGTATATATCCAAAACATGCTCAAGTATACAACAAGGACATTTGCTCAACCATGTTTGTAGCAGCTTTGTTTGTAATATCCAGAACCTGGAAACGACCCAGATGTCTCTCAACAGAGGAATGGATACAGAAATTGTGGTACATTTACACAATGGAATACTACTCAGCAATTAAAAACAAGGAAATCATGACATTTGCTTGCAAGTGGTGGGATCTAGAAAAGATCATCCTGAGTGAGGTATCAAAGAAGCAGAAAGACACACATGGTATATACTCACTTATAAGTGGATATTAGACATATACTATAGGATAATCATACTAAAATCTGTACACCTAAAGAAGCTAATCAAGAAGGAGGATCCTGGGTAAGATGATCAAACCTCATTCAGAAAGGCAAACAGGATGGACACCAGAAAAGGGAGAAAACAGGGAACAGGACAGGAGCCTATCACAGAGGGCCTCTGAAAGACTCTACCCAGCAGGTTATCAAAACAGATGCTGAGACTCATAGCCAAATTTTAGGTAGAGTGCAGGGAATCTTAGGAAAGAAGGGGAAGATAGAAAGATCTGGAGAGGTCAGGAGCTCCACAAGGAGAGAGAGAGAAAAAATCTGGGCACAGGGGTCTTTTCTGAGACTGATACTCCAACCAAGGACCATTCATGGAGATAACCTAGAACCTCTGCACAGATGTAGCTCATGGCAGCTCAGTGCCCAAGTGGGTTTCCTAGTAATGGGAACAGCAGCTCTCCCCAACATGAACTGATTGGCCTGCTCTTTGATCACCTCCCCCTAAGGGGGGAGCAGCCTTACCAGGCCACAGAGGAAGACAATGCAGCCACTCCTGATGGACCTGATAGGCTAGGGTCAGATGGAAGGAGAGGAGGACCTCCCCTATCAGTGGACAGGGGGAGGGGCATGGGTGGAGAAGAGGGAGGGAGGATGGGATTGGGAGGGCATGAGGGAGGGAGCAACAGTTGGGATACAAAGTGAATAAACCACAATTAATTAAAAAATAAAAAGAAAAATATCACAAAAAAGAGAACGAGCATACTTCTACAGATATTATTATAACACATCTTGAAAGTCTTTTCTTTTTCTTTTTCTTTTTTTATATTGTTCATGTTGCTGGGGTTCAAACCCAAGGCCTTGCTTTCCAGGCAAGTATTTACCACTCAAGAACAACTTTAGCTCTCAGGTTTTTTGTTTGCTTGTCTTTTAAAACAGTTTCACTATTTAGTCCAGGATGGACTTAAACTTAGGAGATCTCTGTCTCAACCTCCTGAGTGCTAGAACTTTAGGTATTCATCACCATGTCCAGTGACATGGTTTTCACCAAACATTCACTCACCATCAACCTAGTCTATAATTTATTATGTTGTCAGTCTACACATAAGAGACCAGTGTTTGGGTATGTGCTCACGTGTGCACAGGGGCCAGTGTTTGGGTGTCTTCTTAGATCCTGGTCCTCCTTAGTTTTTGAGATAGGGTCTCTCAGGGAACCTGGGGCTCACCAGTTCCTCCCACTGCTGACCAGCAGTCCTGAGAGATCCCCCCCCCATCTCCACATCCTGAGCAGCGGGATTGCAGACGTGTAAGCCACGCCTGGCCCGGCTGTGTGTGGGTGCTGGGAGGGCAGCACTCTTGACTACACAGCAAGCCCTGACACATTGAGCCGGGTCCCCAGCCCCTCCCCATGGTGGCTCCAGCAGTGGGCACTCACACAGCCTTCCTCCGGGTCGTAAAGCCTCTGCAGGAGCCGGACCATTGTCGTCTTGCCGCTGCCGCTGGGACCGACCAACGCTACTGTCTCTCCAGACTTAATCCTGAGATTGAGTCCCTTCAGAATCTGTGTATACACAGGAAATGACACAGTTAGGAACACTACACAATGAAAGTTAATCTGTAATTACAAACAGAAAATCCTATGTGTCTCATGAAAACAGTTTTGATCTTATATTTATTTGTATAATATCTCATTTATATCTATAATAACAGTTTGGGAGTATATTTAAATTTTTTTATGCAAAGAAGAGCTCTAATTTAAGAGTTAGCTAGCCACAGCAAACTGTTCACATATTTTATTAGCCTTTTTTGATTGTACAAAATAATGTTTTCATAAAGCATTTTCATACATGCCTGTAATATGTATTGATCACATTCATCCTTTCATTGCTTTCTCTTTCCCTCTTTCTTCTTCTTGTTTCCTTCCTCTTTCCAAAAGAACATCACAGTTTCCCAAGCATGTGTGTCTGCTCACGTATGCGTGTTTGCATGTGTGCAAACGCTTGTGTGTGTGCGTGTGCATGTTCGTGGAGGCCCTGTGTTAGCATCAGGGGTGTGTCTCAATTGTTTCCCATCCTAGGTACTGTGGCAGGGCCTCTCCGAGCCTGGCGCTCACTGTTCCGTGAGTCAGGGTGCTAGCTTTTGGGGTTCCAGCTCTTCCTCTTACACTCGGGGATTATTGGTGGGCTGCTGGACCTGCCCGGCATGAGTGTTGGGATCCGCACCCTGGTCCTCATGATGGAGTAGTGAGCATTTTACTTACTAAAGCACGTACGGAGCCTGCAAACTTCACACTTTAACTGAAAATATCTCACATGAGTCACATGACAATTAAGTTAAAATTTTATCTTTTAATTTATAGCAAATGAAGTCTTGGTGGGTAACGCTGAGTAACTTAGAAAGCTCTCTTAGAATAGGTCTAACAGTTTTACAAAGTGCATTCAAAACAGCTGTTGGCGAGCCCACGAGCGAGGTCTTAGAGCTCTACTTGGCTTCCTGGGTCTCAGCACACATTTCAACATGACGGCAATATTTACACTTTTCTCCATGTCTGAGAGTCACTCCCAGGACTTAGTACCCGGGTCAGACTTGAGCTCAGTCTGTGACTACTGACAGCCTCAGAGATCTTTGCCTGCAACTGTGTGTTTCCAGCTCCTCAGGGCCTCTCATTTTGATTTCCTTATTTGTAACAACAAAAATATTTAAATGAGCCCAGTGTAAACCCGTGAGTGGTCCAACCAGAAAAACTTTTTTTTTTAAACGGAGATGAGCGTTCTCGACTAATGATAAAGGGTATTTCTCCCACTTGACCTTCCAACCTCAAGTTGGTTTTCTTAGTCCCATGGGAAGAACTTAAAGTGGGTTGGCCTTAAAAAGTAGCTATTCAACTTAACAGAAAGGTTTATATTCAGAAGTTCATTTAAGGGCTGGGGGTATGGCTCAGCAGATAAAAATGCTGGTCACATAAGCTGGATGACCTGAGCTCAGCCCCTCGAACCGTGTTAAAAGGATTCAATGTGCTAGCTTCCACCTAGGAAGCTCTCAGGCACAGCCATTTGTCAGGTCAGCAGAGACAAGGGAGGAACCTGACAGTTTGGGAGAACCAAGTCCCGAAAGCTGTGCTGTCTGTGAGCCCTGCCTGTGCCCAGTGTCGTGTTTCCCCTTCCACTCCCGAGCACACACACAAATTAGTTAAAGACAATTGTTTACTCAGATATGGTGGCACACACCAGGCAGAGTTTGAGGCCACTAAGGGCTCTGCGGTGAAAACCCGCTTCACAGTAAAGAAACAAATAGAGAAGTGTTTAGGGCTCAGAGAGCATGCATGGCTCAGGGCGTTCTAATGGCACACCTGGTGCTTGGCCCCAGACACCAGGCTAAGTGCATGTTCAGAGCAGCCTAAAGTGCTCTACTGAGAGAAAAGACAAAAACGGGGAAGTGGTGGCAAGTGACGAGTCATAAAACAAAAGACTTTGAGGAGAGAATTTCAGTAAAAAGGCTGGTGAGAGAAAAATAAAGTGGGAGCAGGCACATTATTTTTAACGAAATGTTATAAGGCACATTGGGAGTTGATAGCATTAGTGATATCTGTTCCACTTGTTTCTCTCTTTTTCTCTTAATTGTTTGTTTAGTTAGCAGCTGCCTCTTGAAAGCCTCAACAATACTACTCTCGAGGGTGGGTAGCACAGGGTGTAATTGCATTAATTAAACACAAGGAGAGTTTACTAGGACAGACAAACATGTTTTTCCAAGAGCTATTTGGGTTTTGAACGGTTAGTTTATGGAGTCCACTCCA